GTCCTTTATCACAACATCGAGGGTCTCATTAGATTTCTTGAGGATCTCGCTACATTTATCGGAGGTCTCACCAGTCCTTTTGAGGGCCTTACTAAATTTATCGGCGGCTTCTAGACAGTTCTTGAAACACCTTAAAAGTGTGGTTTTGAACTCTATATCCAGCAGTTTGCTTTCCTCCATTTCTGTAATTTGTGTCCTGTTTCTTTGTCTGAGCATTTTTTATGCTTTCTTGGTGCACCGCCTTGTGGTCTTTGTGCACAGTCTTATTGTAGTTAAGCCTTGATTGTTGTAGGTAACACTGGGGGGGATTTGACCTCCAGGCCAATTGGCTGTGAGAATCAGCTGTGTCTGCAGTGGGAGAACTTCTGTCCTGATCAATAGGGAGGTGCTAATCTAGCCTCTGACTGAGGCTATCCAGCAAATTCCTCCGTGCAAGGCTTGGGCGGGGCGGGTCCCAGGGGATCAACAGGGCAGGCCGAGCGAGCAGTTATGGCTGCTCTCAGTCCTGTCTTCAGGGGCTCTGCTTCTCAATGTCCCAGCAATTGCTGCAAGTACCTCAGAGAGAAAGCTGCCCTTGAGTTCTGACTGATGCCAGACAGTCCTGCTTCTCCCATTTGAGTCTGGGTCCCCAGAGACTCGCCCGGAGCTGGAGCTCAGAGCCTGAGACTCCCTCCCGATTGAAACAGACAACCGCGCCCTCAGCTGCCAGGCCGCTCCGCATGCACCTCCGCATCTTAGTATTTTACTTCCGCACCGCACCTCCTCTGAGTCTGGGTATGCTTTTCTCTTTCCTTCTAGTTGTAGAATTTCCACTCAGCCAGCCTTCCTGTGGTTCTGGGTGATAGCCATTCCGTCTTTTAGTTGTATTTTTGAATTGGTTGTGCGAGGCAGCAATCTCTGGTGTTTACCTATGCCGCCCTCTTGCTTTCTCCATCAAGTATTTTTTCTTTACTACCTTGTCCTGATGGTCTTGAGAATGAGCTACAAATGCACGAAACTTAAGTATAAAGTTCTTCCTTTATAAAATGTATCTACAACCACCTCCCTTATGTACCCACTCCACACACCAAACACACATATATTTCACTTTTTAAGCATCATGATGGCTGTTTCTGAATGAACTCAACCAGTTACCATGGCTTCTGTCTGATGAACCTAATGGGGGCTGAACTTAAAATTATCTACTGACAAAAGAAATCAAGAAACCAGAGTACTGAGTTTGAGTCATATTAGCTTCAAATTTTACTGAATTAAAGTGCATGTGTTTGTAGAAATATGAACAATTATTTTGTTAGGATTTTTAAGTCAATAGTTTCATCCCCACAAACATTCTTTTTTTTTTAATATATATTTTATTGATTTTTTACAGAGAGGAAGGGAGAGAGATAGAGAGCTAGAAACATCGATGAGAGAGAAACATCGATCAGCTGCCTCCTGCACACCTCCCACTGGGGACGTGCCCTCAACCAAGGTACATGCCCTTGACCGGAATCGAACCTGGGACCTTTCAGTACACAGGCTGACCCTCTTTCCACTGAGCCAAACCGGTTACAGCCCCACAAACATTCTTAACTCTTCAGTTTGGCAACAGACAATAACTTTATGGGGGGCGGGGGGGGGAGGGGTGAAGGGTTTGAAAAAGTCCTTGGCTTCAGGGAGTCACAAGTAATAGCAAGAAATTTTAACAGTCAAGGACAACGTGGTTAAAGGCTAGAATTGCTCTTTTGAGCACAGTTTCAGGTAACTACAATGTGAGGGTTTGTCACAATCTCTTTACAAACAGGCTAAAGCCACTGAGCAAGGATGTACTTAATGAACACATACAAACATCAAGAATTTTTCTTCGGCCCTGGCTGGTGTGGCTCGGTTTGTTGTGGGTTGGACCCCCATCAGGGTGCATGTGGGAGGCAACTGATCGATGTTTCTCCCTCAGATCAATGTTTTGCTTTCTCTCTCCGTTCCTTCCTCCCTTCCTCTAAGATCAATTGAAAAAATAAAATGAACTTGTTTCATTAAAAAAAAAAAGAATTTTTCCTCCCCTTAAGATGCTCTTTTCCCCCCTTGCTACAGTAACATAATCAAGATCAGACACTTGAAATTTCTAAAGAGATACAATCCCCCCGCTGGTATGAACCAGGCTGCATGGCGGGCATATGCACGGGTTGCAGGCTCGATACCAGTGTAGGGTGTGCGGGAGGCAGCCAATTGACGATTCTCTCTCATCACTAATGTTTCTATCGCTCTCTCCTTTCCTCTCTGAAATCAATAAATATACATATATATTAAATAAAAGTAGTTATGAAAAAAATATCACAATAAGACAAGTGTATGTGCTGAATGTTTCCCTATTGGGAAAAGAAGTTCCTTTGATATATAAAAAAAGAAAATCAGAAAAAATCTCACAAAATTAAAATAATAAAGAAAACTAGTATTAAAATTATTGGTTTGCAAGTTAGTCTTACTTGATAAGACAGTACAAATAATACAGGCACTCAAAATTTATTATTGTTAATCCACATTTTATTATACACACATACAGGCACCTTCATATAGTTAATCCACTTCACAAAATATCAGAAGTTATCATTCCAACTATATTGACTAGGAAACATGCTCATAAAGGGTAAGCAATTTGCCCAGGATTGATTACTTGGCTCATGAGGGACTGTCTCCCTCCAAAGTTCATACTCTTTCTGTTTCACACTGACTCCCAAAACAGTTTTTTAATATCCCTCAATTTTTCTATTTTATTTTATTATTATTTTTTAATCCTCACTCAAGGATATTTTTTCAATTGATTTTTAGAGAGAGTGGAAGAGAGAGGGAGAGACAGAGAGAAACATCAATGTGAGAGAAACACATCGATAGGTTGCCTCCTGCACAAGCCATGACCTGGGCCCAGGCCGGGGAGGAGCCTGCGACCGCAGTATGTGCCCTTGACCAGAATCGAATCCGGGACCCTTCAGTCCCCAGGCTGACGCTCTACCCACTGAGTCAATCGGATAGGGCAATCTTTCTATTTTAACTTAAAAGATCATTCCTTTACACATCTTCCACCTTGGCTCAACTCTGTATTATGTGCTGGCACCACAATCACTCAGGGAAACTTTGTCTCAGAAGCTCCACTTTGGTACAAGTACTTTGATGTCTGCTGCACCTATCCAGTCCTTGGACCAGAATATAGGAGCCACAATGCAAAGAGTGGAACGATGAGATGACACTAATGAGAATGCCTTTAGTCTTCTGGCAGTTCACCCTGTGGGGTGGCTTCCCACCCAAGCCAAACTTCACCAACCTTGCCAAATTGGCTAGTGTAAGTCAAGCAAACTTTACACATACCTTTTCCCTCTACCTTTTTTAACAGGTAACAAATTATTGTTTAAAACATTTTTAAGTGTCATAAACAGATCAGCGAAGAGAAATGATTAATGAAAAGAAATAACACTTTTCTTCAGTGAAACCTATCAGGTATATCATAACTAGAGCACACCTTCTTGTAAAACAAGCACACTTCTCGGGAAGTGTGTCTAGGGTTTTTGTATTCTAATATTTCTGAGTGAGACCTTGAGAGAAAAACCATTGCCAAGTTGTCTGTCTCCTGGTCAAAATAAATAAACTCTAAACTTAAAACTCTGCAAACCAAGAATGTTCTGTATCTTCCAGCAATTCTTCTGTAAAACATTTAGAAACATCCTTAACCACAAATAGAAACCAAAAGGTAGCTGTGTTTCTAAATATGAGGTGGTTGCCTAATCGATCTGGTTTAGAAAACATACAAATGGGGGCAGGGGGGAGGGGACAAAGTACAACAAAACTGTGTTATATGAAATCTGACTGACTCAGAAACCGTGATAATCTGAAAGGGATCTGAACAAAGCTTAAGTACTTAAAATGTCCCCGTATGTCCATACTTCAGACATAATTGTTCCCCCTGAGAAAATCACATACGATGCCTTTAAGCTTCAATTCCTCTACTACCTACATTTTTTCCAACATACAAATGTCTGCCTGACCTGGTTCCTTTCCTCATCAAACTACTGATGCCCAGCCACATAAGCATAACCACTCCAGAGTCCTTTATCCTCTGAACTTCTAAGGGATAAGAAAAAACAGACTCCCAGGCTCCCAACAAAAGAACTCAGTTAAGATTTAGCATGAAATTCTAACAGATACCTATACTCTTTTAACCCCTACAATCTTTGAAAAAGATCCACATTTTGATTCATTAAGAGAATAATTAGATTCTATAATTTAATAACTACTTTTAGGGGGGAAAAAGGCACAATGATTTCCCATGATTAATGTGGATATTAACTATAGCTGTTACAAATGTAGTTGTGTTTCAAGGAGTTCTGGTACATGTTTTCCAAATTAAATACAAAATTTGGAAAATACACATTTGAAAATTTTCACCGAAAAACATCTTCAGTGGCTGTTACTGGTCTTCATTTTAAATGTTATCAAGATATGCTATTAAACTTTAGCAAAATGAAAAAATTAAAGAGCACAGTCTAATCAAAATAAGCAGGTTATAATTATTTGAACCAAATAATATTTACATAATTTCCTTAAGGCTAAATTTTTAAAATTCTCAATAAATATATAAAGTTACACATAATCACAACTACAAGTCTACCACAAAGTTAGCAGCACTATTTAAACATAAAAGCTCTTATTGTAAAATGGAACTTCAACATAATTCTTAGTATAAACGTTTCATTCCATTTCCTACATTCAGGTACTAAATTATCATAAAGTTAAATCTTGAGACCAATACATTTAATCTACTAAAGTGATTTTAATCCACAACATTTAAAAAAAAAATCATGTTTCTAAACACAAATTACCAAGTAATTTGCACATAAAAACAAAAAAAAGGGGGCAATTTTAACAACAGCTAGCACTCACTTAAAATTACTACTTGTCATGAGAAATGTCTCAAAGGCACAGCAAATTTCCTTGTGAACAACAGACACCATTAATTCAGAATGGTCACTTACCACTTCTTCCAAAGCAGCACTACGCCCAAAAGAACAAGTGAGGTGTGTGAGGCAGTTCACAAAGGACGAGAAAAGCTCACTTGGAATGGCAGTTAAGACGTTTCGAGGGAACACAGTTATCAGGTTGCTGATAATGCTGGAGATCCCCACAGCTTCAGAATCTTCTATTTCAATTCTACAAATCAGGTAACAAATGTTACTGGTGGTGGAAGACAAATTATAATAACTCATTTGCAAACATGCAAAAATTTTCACCTATTCATTCATTTTTAAAGGCATGTCTCTGTATTAATTTCAAATTACCATATAATTCAAAATATACAAAGTGGAAAAAAATCACTAGCTTTTGTTCCACCACTGTTAAGCATATAGACAAACATGAAAGTTCCTTTTTTGGTGACAAAGGGCAAGTATACCTACCCATTGATAGTACTCAGTAAACCCTCAATGAAGTGTGCTAGGTAGTCAACCTGTGCTCCTTCATCGGGGAAGACAGGTCCGTGCAAAGAAGCTAACTGGGCGAGGCACTGCAGAGAATCTTGTGCCATATCCGAATCTTCTCTGATTTTTCGATGTACCTGTTAGAAAGAATTGCTAATCCATAAAAATAAATTCTTCTTTTGTAAGGGTCACATGTCTATCATGCTGAATGAGGTAAGCGAAAACTTCACAATAGCTGGTTATTTCTAGAAAATTAATCCCTGAATTAAGCTAAATTTGAGAATGTCCCTCAGTCCACTTTACATTATAGTCCATGATTTCAAACATATCAATTAATTTTAACTGAGGGCTACCTACATTTTGAACATTGAATTGTCTCCAGCATGCTATGACAAAGAGAGAAACAGATGCTAGCCAGTCAGACATACTGCTTCTTCTAAAAACAGCAACGACAGTCATCTGTATTATGCTAGCTATGCCTTGCTACAGCTCCTTACTAAAGTTAGCAGACAAGTTCAATCAAGAGTATACAGATGCTGCTTTAGTGGAAGTAAACAGTTGCACATGGAGAAAACCAATATACCACTCAATTCCTAGACATTCATTCATTCAATGAACATAAAGCACTCTCTCAGTAACTCTTGAGATTGCTTAAAATTTGTTTCAATCTCATTTTACCCTACATCAATAATATATGCTAAAATATTTAAAAATAAAAATTGTATTTAAATTATATTTAAATCCACCTTAAAGCTCATCTAGATTTTATTTCAATGATACAATGTAGATGTGAAACACCCAGTATACATATAGTGTTCCTATATTGCTCCCTAGCTTTTACAATTTTACTAATATTCTCAGATTTTAAAGATGCTTCATTTTGCCTAGCCACATGCCTGGGGAACATCCCCAGTGAGTAGTGTGCAGGAGGCAGCCGATCAATGACTCTCTCTCATCACTGATACTGCTACCTCTCTCCCCCTTCCCTTCTTCTCTGAAATCAATTATATATAAATTAAAAAAATAAAATAAAGATGCTTAATTTCTGTGAGCTCACCTAATTAAAATTGCCAAGGAAAACAGTAAAGAATTTGTGACCATTTTCTACTTTCCATAAGCATCTAACTTCTTCGGCCTTTCTTTTCCTACATAAATCTCTTTGCTTTCTGAATGTAGCATAATTTTAAACATTTATTCTCTTTTTGGTTTAGGTTATGCTCACTTTGACTCTGCAAACCATAATAATTATTTGAAGTCAGAACATTTCTCTTAAGTATTCACTGGTATAGTGCTGGGACACAGTGAACAAATACTAAAAAAATCCTTATTCACCACTGATTCCATTAAGATTTAATCCCTGAACTTAAGGTTCTAAGAAACTTAAAATACTAAAAAGTCACAAAGTTAACTGATCTACTGGCATATTTTAAAATGTTACCCTCTTTGGTCTAGAGTAGTGGATGGCAAACAATGGCCTGCAGGCCTAGTCTAGCTTCCTGCCCATTTTGTATGGCTGTGATTTTGACATTTTATATGGGTGAGGAAGGGGAAATAATCAAAGAATATTTTAAGAAATGTAAAAATTATAAAAATCCACATTTTTACATAAGTTCATAACAGTTTTACTTGAACACTGCCACACTTGTCTGTTTGGGTGTTGTCTACAGCTACTTCTATACGACAATCAAGCTGCCTCAGAGAACACATGTCTGCACAGTTTAATATTCACAAGGGCCTTTACCAAAAAAGTTTGCCAATGCCTGGTCTAGAACAATGCAAATGTTTTTCAAAATATATTCTATATTTTAAGTTTTATATAGTAAATGTGTAAACTATACAAATTCCTATGCCCACATTGTCTAATTCATGCAGTTTTTAACACAACTCATTTGGAAGTTCCTTGTCTGAAAACTAACTGATTTTCTGTCATCATGCCCTTGCATCTAACATTAAACATGATATCCGGGGATGCATATCAATGGATGCAATGCAATGTAGGACAACAGTGGGTTTCTTCTCTGCCCAGAGAGCTCAATGGTTGCTTGTTCCTGGTCTAGTAGTGACAAATCAAAAGAAAGAATACCTTTAATGAAATAGCTAATATTGACTATGTAGTAAAATAAAAATAAGAAACTGTCCTCAGAGCCTACCTGTACTGTTCTCTGAACTATGAGCAACATATAACCCATTGTAAACCAATATTCTTACATAATATAGTAGGTTCATGCCTTCTTCTAATTTGAGCATTACAAAGGAGTTCTACTATATCTGAATTACACTCTACACATTTAAAACTGAATTCATCGCCCAAATAGGAAAGAAGCAGAGGGATAAAGAAAAGCCAAGTCTAGCAGAAAATCCAGAGAAGTAAATAAACTATGAAGCAGGATAAGGATGAAGACAAGGAACAGAGAGAGCCAGTGAGTGAGGTGATGATTCCTATGGAACATGCTGACCCTGAGATGTCTGTGGGACTTCCAAACACAAGCCTCCAGTAAGCACTAGGATTACAAGGCCCTGGACTCTAGAGCAGCTTGTGCTGAATATAGACCTAGGAGTCAGCAGTGTAGAAGTGGTGTCTGAGGTCCTATGTGGGGAAGGGGCAGACTGAGGAAAGTGTATGCAGTCAGCAGAGTTCAGAATTAACATAGGAACACTACTATTTATGCGAAGAGCAGAGAAAGAAGAGACCCTAAACGAGATGAAAAAGAACCTGACAGTAAGGTAGGAGGAAGAATTAATGAGATTGGTTTTTCCAACACCTTATGGAAGAGAGAAAAATTGAGAAGACTATAAACTTCAGAGGGGCAAATCAATACTTTAGGTTTAAAGTATTCCTAAATTCAGATAATCAACATACTTCAAGTCTTGATTCCATGCATAGTATATTTATGTTTATCTACTTAATAAAGAAATAGTGATATCTCATGGAAAACTGCTTTCAATTAGGTAATGAATCCTATAATAGAAAATAAATTTAACAAAAACTGAATGAAATTTAAAATTTCAACTGTCATTTCGCTAACAAATAAAATGTAAATTGCTTATAAACTGCTTAAATGAAAGTGAGAGGCCACAAACACAAAGATGTTGAAATAAAAAAGTGAGCCCTAACCCGTTTTCTCAGTGGTTAGAGCATCGGCACGCACACTGAAGGGTCTCAGGTTCATTCTGATCAAGGTAACATACCTCGGTTGCAGGCTCGATCCCCAGCCCCGGTTGGGAAGCGTACGGGAGGCACCCAATTGATGTGTCTCTCTCACATCAATATTTCTGTCTCTCTCTCCCTCCCTCCCTTCCACTCTCTCTAAAATTCAATGAAAAAAAAATATCCTTGGATCAGGATCAACAATAATAAAAAAACCACCACCACCACCACCACCACCACACACACAAAAAAACAATAACAAAATGAAAAAGGGTTAACTTTCAAATTCAAAAGTTATCTGCATGTGGTCTTTCACAGCTGACAGGAGCAGCTGTCTGGTTTGTGGAGACAGCTGTTCAGATTTAGAGTCACCATTTCCAGACTACCAGCAAGTTTTCCACCTTTTCATTAACTGCTGGAGTGGGGTCTACTTTCAGCCAAATGAGCAACACAAGATCTGAACTTGGATCCATATCAAAACAATTTCTGCCAGATGAGAAAGGCAACAGAACTTTCAATTTAGTTACAATGGTCTCTGATACTGACAGTGTTTTTAGTTATTATTTCTGCTTTAAAGAAAAAAGTAAAGCTAATGCGTAGTCTGAACCTTTCACAGAAAACACCTAATTTATACACCCAGGGATGAGTAACCTTGTTCTTGAGATTCTTAAATATATACAATATTTTAAATAGTTCAACCAAAAAAGGGAACATAGTTGTAACACTAGTACATAATATTTTCAAAACATGAAAAGGCAAGAAGTTATAATTAATGGTTGGAACTAAGCAAAAATCTTTTTTTTCTTTTTAATTGGTCTTTATTTGGGTCTTTACCCTAGTCCTTAGATCTGCTTAAATAATATGCTCATGCTATAAGAGCACTCAGCCTCCAAAACACACACACACACACACACACACACACACACACACACACACACACATTTTCCCCCAGCTTCTGTTTTATTGTGGTTGTGGACAAACGTGGAATATGTTGCTTACTTCTTTATATTTAGCAAATAAGAAATAGCACCATTTAAAGTTATAGTTAAAATAAGTTCTATACAAAAATCCTAACTTCACTCACAACTGATAATTCGTACATAAAAAGTACACTACTCTAGAAGAGCAGTTCTCAAAATGTGCTCCAGGGATCTCTAAGGGTTCCTAGGACCCTGCCAGGTTGTCTCGAAGGACAAAACTGTTTTCCTACAGTACTACGATAATTGTCTTTTCCATCCTTACTGTCACACATGTATACAGTGGAGCTACCCTAAGGTTATATATAGTAATACTGCGACCAACTGAAAACAGAAGCAAATATAAGATCGGCTTTCTTGTATTAAACCTAACATTAGATACAGTTGCAAAAAAATGTACAATGCTACTCTTCTCACTAAACTTTTTTTTTGTTTACAAAAGTACAGCTATTTGTTCATTAAAATATTATGTCATGGTTTGTATTGCTATTGTAAAATGAATAAATTATGTTTTAAAGTTTAGTTGAATTTTTAATATGGTAAATACTAACACATTGCAAACGGATCACGAGACTTCTCGATCCATATTACACAGTGTTTTACAAAGTATCATACTTTAAAAAGATATTAGCTTGTAAGAACATGTAACAAATAACTTCAAAATGCAATGGGTATTTAATTTTAAGGCATGCCTTTAACATTTATGTAAAACGGTTTTTGTACTTGTTCAATAGAAACTTATCTGACCACTGGGTTAAGCTAGCAATGAAACTACTGGTCCACAATGTGCTAATAGTTACAACCCACATATATAAAAGCTCTTTGAATCCTTAATAATTTCTAAGAGTGTAAAGGAGTCCTGAAACCAAAAAGTTTGAGAACTTCAGTTCTAGGATATAAGCCCTTCATAATTCTACATACTTTTATAAAATATCAAGAACATTTCTATGTAATTTCTGTTTGAGTAGAAACATTGATTAGAAGTGAAGACTTTAGAGGACAAAAGCGATCTGTACATTTTTACCTAAAAAACTACAGAATCATACACTCCTTTAGTGGCCCTTCTGTGACCTTTGCCACCGGAGAGGAAAGGTAAAACTTACTGTAAAGAAAAGCTCCATGACTCTGCTGTCCAGAAGGGCCTCCCGCCAGGACTCCGTTGGCTTTAACAGCACATTTTGTGAGGATTCAAACATGGCTATATAATGTCTGCCCAGTTATCTGGTGTCAAGGTCAACAACAATAACATTCTTACTTTGTCTAAAGTATAAATATACCCGAAATATAACAGGAGCCATCCAGAAAGAATGTAATGGAAACAGTTTAAGCCTCTTCACATACGCTACATAATTCATGCATGAAGCTTAGGAATAAAAGGCATTAAGTGCTGAAAAAAAGAATGCTATAGGAATGTAAGATAACAGTGTCAGGAATACAGAAATTTTGATGACCACAGATCTTAACAGTGGTGACAGAAGGAAGAACACTAATGCAAAACAGATGCCAAAATATATACAAAAAGAGAGAAATCAATATACAAAATGTGACTCTCACATGTCTACTTGGAAAAATACCATCTCCCCAAAAAGAAATATATTCAAGAACAAACCTATATTGCATTAAAGAAGAAAAACTCCCACACCAGAGTAATCAAATACCAATTCCACACAAATAAATAATTGTATCACATAAAACTCTATCAATGCTCATTTTAAAATCCCACAGACTAAAAATCAGTCTGTAGGTGTTCAGGTGCTCCATATCAAACATACTTCTAAAAAAAATACTTTCTTTGCCATACATAAGTCACCACAATAAATTTACAAGACTTTGTGAATATAACTCACTCAATGACACTGATATGATAACTGAAGTCTTTCAAAACTGGGGAAGACAGTAATTGCCTATCCCATAGCTCATCAAGTGTCCAGCTGAAATACACCCAGTAGGCTACGTTCTCATCGTAGCATGAGAAATTGCAACAATAGTTATCCAAAACTACAGCTTGTAAAACTTAGATGTAAGTTCAAAACTGCTGTACTTTATTAAACCCCAAATCATTTATAGAGAACATTAAAGGGTGTCAATGTTTTGGAAACCATTTTTTTTAAATATTACTGCTTAAACCCCTTTTTAAATCTCTAATGTTATTTTGTGTCTAAAGAGAAGGGGAACAGCTGATAGTTTGTTTCAGAAGAGAGTCAGATTGCTGGGTTTTGAAAAATCACTCCACTCAATGGGTGAATAAAAGTAAGATTCAAATCAGGTCCATCTCAGTTCCTCACCTGCCCCCCCCCTTGTGGAGATGTAGGAAGAAATCAACGCCAAAAAAAGGTAACTATTGGAACTCAATAAAGCCAGCGTGAATTTAAAAAACAAACAAACAGAAATCAGCCAATGAATACTGTTTTGGGCCTTAGCTGGTTTGGCTCAGTAGATAGAATGTCAACCTGCGGACCAAAGGGTCCTGGGTTCAATTCTAGTCAAGGGCACATGCCTGGGTTGTGGGCTCGATCCCCAGTAGGGGGCATGCAGGAGGCAGCCAATCAATGATTCTCTCTCATCACTGATGTTTCTCTCTCTCCCTTCCTCTCTGAAATCAATAAAAATACCTATTTTTTAAAAAATACTGTTTTTGTTTTCAGTGTGCTAATCTTTTCTAAAATGATCTCATGTTTCCACTAGACATCTAAGGCTGTTAATGATATCATCTTCACTCATAACACCCTGATTGAACATAAGATGTTTCTACCTGTGGTTTTGTTTTCCAGCTCAGAACCTGGAAGGGGTTTTCTCTGACACAAAGTCTGCATTCCATCAAGAAAGCTCATTTGTAAGGCACCTCACTCACAAAGAGTCATGCTGATTTTCTTTGAAGAACCATCACCCAACCCTATTATGAGCCATTAACACATTGTTTGCGGGTAGTTTTTATCGCGCTAACAGGTGGCGCGGGCCATTTTTGCTAATTTATTGCGCAAATGGCAACGTTCAGTAAAATTACGATAACTTTAGTTTACGTATTTGTACATTACCCGCATTCTACCGCTAGTCTATAAAAAAACGTATTAATACGTGTCCCGCGCTCTACCACCAGTCAACGTAAAACGTATAAGTAAAACGTATAAATACGTTTCCCACAAACAATGTGTTAAAAATATCATCCTATAGAATAAAGAGGTAATATGTAAATTGACTCTCACTCCATCATGCGGTCACAAGATGGCTATGCCCACAGTAGAGGAAGGGTTCCCATAACACAAGATGGCTGCACCCACAGTGGAGGCAGGGTTCCCGTAACAAACCGTAATGAGCCTTAATGAGCGATCAGCAGGGACCTGAGGCTCTGTGGTCCTGGGCCAGAGCTGGGGACCTGAGGCTGTGCCCCCCGCCCAGCAGGGCTTGATGGGGGATCTCAGGCCACACCCCCCACCAGGAGGGGCTTGACGGGGGACCTGAGGCCGCGCCCCCCACCCCAGTGCCGGGCCGGAGGACCTGAGGGTACACGGGGAACCTGAGGCTGTGCCCCCTGCCCAGCATGGATTGACGGGGGTGGGGCTGGCTAGGTCTGGATCACGCCCAATGAGGGTGGGGCCAGCCGGGTCTTGGTCTTGCACAAATTCAAGGTACATGCAGGTGGGTGGGGACTTGACTCTGGGTCCCGCAGTGTGCCCACGACTCTGACAGGAGGAAGATTTTCACATACATTTTACTAATTTTCCTTCATCTCTGACACTTCTATTATAGAGAAAAGGCAAATAGCAATCTTACCTAATAAAAGAGAAACATGCAAATTGACCGCACCTCTGCTACACTCACAAGCCACGCCCACCAGCCAATCAGGAGCGAGTATGGAAATAAACCCAACCAAGATGGCGGCAGCCATGGAGCTGGAGCCAACAGGCTTGGGTTGCCCCGGGCGATGGAGGAAGCCAAGCTTCCTGCCTGCCCTGGCTGGCTGTGGGTCCCCTCAAGGCTACAAAGATTCAATTATAGAAGATAAATAAATCCCAGCTACTGCTTCCAGCCGCTGTGGCCTCCACTCAAGGAGGGTCTGGGAGCCTGGGTTGCCTGGGGCTGTGGCCAGCCGGCAAACAGCCATTAGCCCCTCACCCAGGCTGGCCATGCCCCCCAGCGGGGACCCCCACCCTGAAGGGGCTGTGGGCAGCCTGAAAACAGCCCTCAGCCCCTAACCCAGGCTGGCCATGCCCCCCAGCGGGGACCTCCACCCTGAAGGGGCTGTGGGCAGCCTGAAAATGGCCCTCAGCCCCTCACCCAGACTGGCCACACCCCCATGGGGTAAGGGTCCCCACTGGGGGGCTTGGCCAGCCTGAAAGCAGCCATCAACCCCTCACCCAGGCTGGCCAGGTACACCAGTGGGGACCCCCACCCTGAAAGGGGTGTGGCCAGCCTGAAAACAGCCCTTAGCCCCTCACCCAGGCTGGCCACACAGTCCCAGCAGGGACCCTTAACCCATGGGGGCGTGGCCAGCCTAAAAACCACCACAGGCCCCTCGCCCAGGCTGCCCCATGCCCCAAGGGAACCCCACCCTGATATGGGACACCCTTCAGGGCAAATCAGCCGGCCCCCACCTGTGCACCAGGCCTCTATCTATACTAATAAAAGGGTAATATGCTAATTAGACTGGGAGACCTTCCAGGAGACCTTCCGGACGTTCTTCTGGACAAAGCCATGGTGGCGGGGCTGAGGTAGAGGCGGTTAGAGGCCAAGAGGGGAGGGCAGTTGTGAGAGATCAGGCTGGTGGGAGGCAGGGCCGTTGGGGGTAAGCAGACCAGCAGGGGGGCCAGTTGGGGGCAAGCAGGCCATCAGTGGGGGTCACTTGGAGGTGATCAGGACAGCGGGGGGGGGGGGGGGCACGGCCCAGTTTGGAGTGAGCAGGCCAGCAAGGCGGCAAATGGGGGTGAGCAGGCCAGTAGGGGGGGCAGTTGGGGGTCATCAGTCTGGCGGGGAGGCACTTGGGGGCAAGCAGGCTGGCAGGCAGGGTGGTCAGGGGAAATCAGGCAAGCAGGCAGGTAGGTGAGTGGTTAGGAGACAGCAGTCCAGATTGCGAGAGGGATGTCCGACTGCCAGTTTAGGCCCGATCCCTGTAAACGGGCAGTAGGACATCCTTCGAGGGGTCGCAGATTGGAGAGGGTGCAGGCAGGGCTGAGGAACACCCCCTCCCCCATGCACGAATTTTGTGCACCGGGCAACTAGTATTAAAAATATTTCCTCTAATTAATTCCCTTTTAATATGCATGAATTTTGTGTACCGGGCCACTAGTATTCTCATAATAAAAATGCACAGCCCTAGCTGGTTTGGCTGAGTGGATAGAGCATCGGCCTACAGTCTAAAGGGTCCCGGGTTTGATTCTGGTCAAGGGCATATGCCCGGGTTGCAGGCTCCATCCCCAGTAGGGGGTGTGCAGGAGGCAGCCGATCAATGATTCTCTCTCATCACCGGTGTTTCTATCTATCTCTCCCTCCCCCTTCCTTTCTGATATCTATAAAAAATATTTTTATAAATAAATAATAAAAATGCACATATTCTAGTCTGTATAAAATACACCCAATATAATTACAATATAATTAATTACCCAATATAATTAATTACAAATAATATCTCCATACTAAAAAATAAAAAATTATCCCCAAAAGCATTTTAATAAAAACTTAAACATAAAAACACATGAAAGAACAGTATTAAAATGAATGGAACAAAAATTTTAAGAATACAATTCCAACAAGAAATGTATTTTAGTTAGCAGATTGTGCAGGGAAACTGTTGAAGTTGCCTCTGAACAGGAGAGTAAGAGAACTCTTCTGTGTTACCTGAAAGATTACCATGAATGTTCAGGTAATACTTTTCAATTTTAAAACTATTTCAAAGTATATTACAATGTGAACAGAATACTTAAAGACAGCCAAAGAATTAGCACAACAATACCACTACTCCCAAAGGTGATTCGTAATGTAGAATATTATTAAATAAAACAAGAAGACTAGATCTTTTCAGGGGAGAAACCAAGATGGCGGCATAGGTTAACGCCGGAGATTCCTGCCTCGAACAACCACTTCAAAAAACAAGTAAACGACGGAACAGACATCATCCAGAACCACAGGAAGGCTGGCTGAGTGGAAATTCTACAACTAGGAGGAAAGAGAATATCATGCCCAGACTCAGAGGAGGCGCAGTGCTGAAGTGAAATACTGAGG